AAAACCAGGGAAGAAATGAGATAGAAAAAAAGAAATGAAGAAGCATATAAGCCAGGGAGGAACAAATAGGAATGAGATTTTTTAAAAATAAAATTATATATTTGTAAAATTGGAAAAAAGAATTTTGTTAGCAAGTCATTACAATATAACTTGCCCAGCAGAGCTATCCATAATAAGCATTGCTGACAAATTCTTCTTTAGTATCTATCTGAATACATCCAAGTGTATACTACTACGGTACTTCTTTAGCATCTATCTGAATACATCCAAGTGTACACTACAGTATAGTAGCTTATACTGTCGAACTGTTTTTAATTTAGAAAGGATTGTTATTGACATTTTATCAGGTATGTTTTTCTATAACTTAAAATCTGTTATTCCCCATACCATATGCTGGGTTGATACAGAGCAAGTGTGACATCAGTTCAAATATTTGAAGAGTGCTATCAGATCCTTCCTTCCTCCCAGGCTTTTCTCTTCAATATTCCAAATTCCTACAATAATTTCTACTTCCATGATCATCCTCACTGTCCATGTTTCACTCAGATTATTTCTCTGAATCCTTCTTAAAAGTGGAGTCCTGATTTGGATAACAATAGGTTTGAGCAAATAGGACAAAGTGAAATGACTATTTCTTGTGATTTTGAAAGTATGTGTCTGGCATTCATCCATGCTTTGAAATTATGGGCAGAATGACAGTGATCTCCTTTCCCACGTCTATGGCTTATTATTTTCCTTCCTTTTTTTACCACCCTCCCCCAAACCTAGCTTTTAGTCTTCCATGCAGGCCTGTTTACAATCTGTGGCCTTTTTCTTTGCACAGGAGTCCTGACAATAGGATACCACAGCAATTATTCTTAGAATATTTTTTTCACAAATACTATTGGCAAGTCAGTAATTGTTGTTTGCATAGAGTGCCTCCTCACACACAATTACACTATAAAAGGTCTTAGACACACTAGGATATGATTTCAGCAAAAACCAATATATATTTATATCAGTATATCTTTGTAACCACTACCCAAAAGATAGTGACTGACTGCAAGAGCTACTTAGATATAAAGTTGGACCTACTGAGCTTCAACCTAATATTTTTCCTTCCCATTGTGGCATTATGTGCATAAGAATTAAAAAAGTAATTTTAAAACAAAATCAATTCCTTCTTTGGTGCCTAGTACATGGCTTTGCTCTTTTCAGCCCACAGGTGGCACTCCATGGAAGAGCTTGAATAAAAAAGGCTGTTAAATACCTCTATCTCATCTCATTAAATTAAAATCATCCTGAATTACCCCATTCCTTTCTAGTTCAGGCTTCACAGGCCTTTTTTCCCTATACCATAAGGGTGTTTGGTTGTGCAGAGATCACCAACATTCCACACCAATTTTATTCTTAGAATCTGTGAATATTTAAAACTATGTGGATGTTTCCAAAGAATGATTTCAGGTGTTTTGCAGCAGCATCTTTCTATAACTGCTTTAATTTTAAAATTTAGAAGGAAACAGAAAATCTATTGACATTTACTATGAGACAGCAACTGCAATAATTAGTCTGATGAGTTCAGTTCTGGTTTTATCTAACAGAAAGAGTAACATATATAACTTTGAAAAAAATATCTTTGTTAAACTCTTAAATGTAGAAAAACAAATTCTACTGAAATAAATGAAACATCCTAAATAAAATTGTCCTCATCTTATTAGGTGCCAACTGCCGATTGCTTCACATTTATCTCTACTAGGAGACAGAACTATACATGCAATAGATGCTCTTTGTATTTCCTAAGCCTACTTAAAAGCTGAAATGATAGTAATTTAGTCCTATTACATGCACGGTGCTGAATAGCTCTGAGAAATGGAATAGCAGAAGATTGTCTTATATACATAATTTCTTGACAAACTGCTGATTGACATAATCGTCAACATCTGGGTAAGCAGTATGTACACATAGCTGGATCAGAATTTATGTGTTTAGGCTTTAAGTAGAAAAATACTAATAGATGCTACTTAGAATATTTTTCTGTACTGAATATTGATTGAAAAATGAATGAGATTGAGGTTTGATTTTTTTATCTGAATCAAAATAGTGTTTTATTTGCTAACATGCTGTATGATTCAATTGATTTGTAAACTATAGTTTACAGATCAGCAAATACAGGCAATTCTGGTTTATTCTATAAACCACAGGTAAACAAAATGTCAGAATCCATTTATATTTCATTTCTAGCTACCTACTCTGAAAAAAACCCATTTCTGCTCTCTCTGGATTCTGTCATACTACAAAGGGGAAGAGGGATGAGCAGGGGGGTTTTATGGCTCTCACTTCCTTCATTAAACTACAAAGGACTGGATGTTGATTCTCATCAAGAGGACTGACCACAACAATATGCCGGCAGTGAGGGAAAGGGGGGGGGACTGGGATCTGGGAAAAGAGAGGATGAGTGATCCTCGCCCGGAAGAATTGTGGGGTGGGGGGCTGCTTGGGAACATTTAAAACATTGAAGGATGGGAGAGAATTCCTCAGATCCTGTCTAGCACGCCTGCAATCATTTTCTCTTAATAAAGATGCCTGTGGGAAGAGATATTCCAAGAGTTCTGTCTTCTTAAGATGTAAAGTGAGGTGGGTCCTTACATTGAACTTGATTACATATCAAACTATGGTCAGAATGGGCAGCATTGTAATGATTGTTTTAATCTGGAGTTCTAGTAAACACATATTGTGGTGGAATTCAATTCTCACAAGTATTTGTATTGTATTTGTATTTTATTTATATGCCGCCCAATCCCAAAGGACTCAGGGCAGCGTACTTTAATAATAGAAGAGCAATTAGCCATATGATTACCCAATTCAGTCATAAAATCCTTGGGACAGTCCCTCATGTTGAACCTAAGCTTTGTTCCAAGGATGCAAGAGGGAAATTAGGTCATCATCTTGAGCTGTTTGGAGAAAACACAGACTAAAATAACAGATAAAGAAACCTGATTTTATGTCCATAAGCACAAATGTCCCTAGTTATTTTGAATCTGATCAATAATTCCATAATATATTAGCTGTCATGGTCTCTGGTTTCAGAAATTCATATGACCCCAAAGCTCTACACAGGAAAGAACCTCCAGGAGATACCCCCAAATCTGTTGCTATATCTCTTTCATCATTGGCAAAAAATTAATTCCAAATTAGTACCCTGCTTTTCTTACCTTGCAGATGAGAGGAGACAAAAATCAGAGATTTTTTAGAACCGTATTCACCCTCTCTAAGGAAGCATGGCCAACTACTGTATGGTCTTTGTCAACCTACATATGGCTTCAGCTCTTTGCTGGTTGAATTAACATATCTTTATAGAAGAGATGAGAAATTTGAGTGATCAGAATTAAAATTCACAGCAGCTCCAGCCTGCATGGTCATTCTGTGTCAAACGAAACAGTGTTCCCACACCAATTGTTATGGCCCAGTATTGCAATGCCACATGCTTTTCAAGATAATTTTGGGCAACTGCTTCAAGCATTGTCAAAAGAGCCAGGAATAAAATAATATGGAAATATGGCTGCAAAACAAGACAGAACTTGCTGCCTAGAAAAATAGTGGGGGGAAAACTCTTTTGACATTCCACACATTTGCATTTTTACCTGTTCTATATCATTTTTTGAAAGGGATCCAAATCAGGAAGACAGGTTCGCTACCTAAAAGGCAATGACTTTTTGCAACTCAGATTTACTTCAAGCCTGTTTTGATATTGTGGAGAGGTTGTGTTTCTTTCAAGCATGAGAAGGATCTGGATAAAATTTTGTTTTATAGGTGTTCCTGAAATTTTGCAGCATTAAAACACCTGTAAATTATATTTTATTGTTGAATTTTGGGTCTGTATTAATGTTTGCAAGAGATATTTCAGGACTTTTAAAAAATTAATCAAAATGCAACAAAAGAAACTGTAACATAACAGATGCATCAGGCAAATAACATGAACAAAAGATTTATTGTATCTGTGTGTTGATAGGAGTTTATGTGTGGCTGATTTCTAATAAATTAATAGTCTCTGAAGTGTAAAATGTATTTTACTATTAAAATTATATTTCAAATATTAAATAGTGTTATATACAGCATGATTCCATTTTTTGATTCTAATGGTAAATGGTGTGGTTTCCAAGTATAAACCTGGAAAGTAAAAGGAAGTAATTCATTTAGGATTGCAATTATTAGTTGTTAAGAATAAGCAACTGCAGATTTGACTGAAAAAGCCAAACTCCAAATGCTGCTTTTATATATATCTATGTTCATATGCTGTTTTTCACATATGAAAAACAAGAATGAAACAGGAGGATATAAATGGCCTAAAATCAATCTGTCTGTCTGTCTGTCTGTCTGTCTGTCTGTCTATCCATCTCACTTATCTTTTTCATATAAAATAACAAAATATATATAGAGAGCCATGTTTGTTAATTTTAATTTTTACAAAGTAAATAAAAGATTTTTTAATTGTATGGCTTTGCAGAGATAGATTATGAAGTGACTTCTGTTTATTTATTTAAAGTGTTGTAAAAGAGTATGTTAGTGTGCTTACAATAGTGGCCATGCTGGTTGAATGACAAGCCAAAAGTCTGACGCTAGAATTACTTAAACTCTTTCCACTCACTGCTTCGGCAGCCTTTATAAGAGAAATGTAATTGATTACAACCTCATCTACTTTTGCTATAATCTCCTCCTGCTGTGCTTCAGAGTTCATGATTTTAACTAAACGCATGCAGGCTTCTGTTAAGCAACAGAGAACTTGAAAGCTTGAAGTCATTGCTACAAGCATTTTCTCTGGGCTTTTTTCAGCCATGGCCATTTTCCTTCAGGCACTTCCCAACTGTTGTGATTCTACAGATAACAGTTGTTTGTATTGAAAATGTTTAAGGTCATGTGTTTCTGGATGATCCCTCTTCTTCCCCACACTTGACCAGACCAAACTGAGTAGCTCATTGGCATCCTTTTGTGCTGCAAGAAATCCATCAGGCATTGTATAATTCTTTTTTTTTCATGGCACTGAGTCTTGCAATTTGTGCATCAAAGGACATGTTGCTGAGATCTGGCTGACTTCTGCTTTTGCCTTCTTAACTATCTCCTGCTTCTCTGAGGGCCTCTTGCAGTGGTGGGATTCAAATATGTGAACAATTGGTTCTCTGTGTAGATGCCACTTCCGGAAGTCCATTCAGGGCCTGGGCAAAAAAAAATTAGCTAGCGGGTCTGCTGAACTGGTGTGAACTGGCTAAATCCCACTACCGGCCTCTTGTGTTCCTCATTCTCAATGGAAGAAGTCTGAGTAGTTAATTCTTCTAATGTGCACTGTATCTCTGGTTGACAGAGGCAGGAAAGCTGAATGCTCCCTGCATATTCAATTTCATCATCAGCAGCAGCATTCTCCGTCGTAGGAAACAAGAGCTAAAGGGGTTACGGCATTTCCAGTTGTCTCGTTTTTGTAATGGTAATGTTCTGTATTGCTTGGGCTCATTTTGGACAGCATTCAAGAAAAAAGATCTTCTACTGTTTATACTGATGTTCATGGAGCTTTGGGAATAACTTTTGGATAGCTTTTTGCCCAGAGGAAATCCCCCTCTTTTTTTTAATTTTGAGTCAGATGTTTCAGGAATCTGTGAACATAATACATTGATAGCAGCTTTCCCCTTCCCAAGAAACATCTCAGTGCCTGTAATTTGTGAAGTGACACTGCTGCTGCATGGCAAAACCTTCTTCTTCTGTGGTATTCTGAGGCTTCCTCCAATTGTATCATATGGCCATAAACTGACTGCTACCCAACCTGATAGGTTGACTTTGGGAACATCAAAAGAGTCTTGGTTTTGACTTGGCACCTTTGATTCTGAGTGAATGCAGGATGACAGCAGGGTGGAACCACGTCTGGGCTGTCTACGAAAAGCTGAAGGCATGCCTCCTTGTCTTTCATGCACAGGCTCTGTGAAAGCTACACTAGGGGTAGTAGAAGTACAGTGAGAATTATTAAGAATCTTAAAACAATGTCTAAACACTTCAGTCTTATGGTATTTGCTTTATTAAGGCTTAATAGTATGAATAAATATTATATCATAAACATAATAATAATTCAGTTATAGTTCTTTTGGAAGAGCATTAGAAAAATCCAAATTGTTAAATCAGGCTTGCTGTGTAGTATATAAGACAGTATAATATAAAAACTGGACTTCTTCTTGACTTTGGAATTTGAATAGTATACCTGGTCTATTTCTGTTGAATGGTATGCATATTCTATGTGATATTTTAATCCCTTGCTCCCTTCTCAATAAATGCAGCTTTACTCAACACAAGATTTCTCATTCTTGATACCATACAAGCAAATAATATCAGAAAAGAGGGTTGTTTTTTTTTTTTTTACTTTTGTGTTCGGTTTGTGAGCTCCTCAGAGGCAACAAGATTATAGTTATTTGAAATACAATGCTAAAGATCAAAGACTTTTGATCTTACTCAGGAAATAAATTCTTAAATTCTAATAACTAAATGGACTTTCATCAGGATAATATTAGGCAGGCAGTAGGTTGCAGGTTACTTACAGACCCCTTGGTGTGGATCTTCTCACAACACTATCCAAATTAGGGGTCCTTGGTGCTCTCTGAGCTTGCTTGTTTTCTTGCAGACATTTCATTACCCTAACATCATCCATTTTGTTGGAATGTGTTATATATATGCTCCATTTCCAACACAGAACAGCAGAAAAAGGAAATGGAGCATCTATACAACACATTCCAACAAAATGGATACCCACGCAACTTTATCAAAAAGTCCCTGACAACTCAACCGAATACAGCACAACCAACATAAAGAAAAAGAATTACACTGCCGTACATCAAGAATATCTCAGAAACTGCAAATAGGCTACTACAGTGGTGGCGAACCTATGGCACGTGTGCCAGAGGCGGCACTCAGAGCCCTCTCAGTGGGCACATGTGCTTTCGCCCCAGCCCTGCCTCCCCACACGGCCTCCTCCTCACCAGCAGCCCCTCCGGAGGAGAGTCGCCCCCGGGCATGGCCCACACAGAACAGCGCAGCCAAGGACATGGCAGCCAGATAGTGGGGACAAGATTCCGCCCTTGTGCTCCGTCATGCGCAGATGCTGCTGCAGGGCGCGGGTGGAGATGTGGCCACCATGGTGCTGCTGGGCCGCCTGGGCGATCTGTTGCAGCAGGCTGTGGAGGTGGTGGCCCTGCGGGCAGGCGGGGCATGGGGTGGCAGGCAGGGTAGGGTGGTTTTGGGTACTTGGTCTCTAAAAGGTTCGCCATCACTGGCCTACTACAACCACATGGAATCAGTGTAGCACATAAGCCAACTAAAGCCCTTCAAAACATCCTAAGTAAACCCAAAGACCCAGCAACCCCAGAGGGAAAAAAAACCAGGAGTCATCTACAAAATACAGTGTAAGAACTGCAACAACCACTATGTAAGACAAACAGGCAGAAGACTGGCAGAACACATCCATGAACACTAACAGACAGTTAAAAGGCATGATGAAAATTCTTTAATTTCACAACATATAGACAGATTTAACCATAGTTAATATGGCTAATATGGTTAATATGGGAATATGTGACATTCCTAGACCAGGCCAAATCCAACAATGCCAGGGAATTCCTAGAAGCCTGGCACTCTGACAAATCAGCTATCAATAGACACATAGACATTAATAACATCTATAGATTATGCAAAAGAGACAATCAACCAGCCCAAAAGAGAAAAAGACTCCAGCTCTCCATCAGTAATCAGCACTCAGACCAGCATAGATTAACTCCAAGATCACCTTCAGACCAACAATCAAGTAAACAATACCCTAATCAAGAAACTTCCACAGAGCCATTAGTAAACAGCCCAAAGAATCACTAAGATCCACTCAGGCAGGCAAGACATCAGTATATAAACCGACAGTAAACAGCACTCCTTACTAGAACTGATGATGTTACCTAGTTAGGGTAATGAAACGTCTGCAAGAAAACAAGCAAGTTCAGAGAGCACCAAGGACCCCTCATTTCAACCCTGAGCTACAAATATTCTCCTTCATTGGTACATCCAAATTAATTGGAAAATGCTGAAATTTGGTGTAATTTTTTCCAGCTCATCTGATTTTCTAAAATCAAACCCATCACTTTCAAAAAAGCATCAAAGGGCCACATATATCAGCCTCATTCCTCTGTTTATTATTCTGCCCCCATAAGTCTTGAAAATTGAACTGAACAAAAAAATGCTAAGCTATAAAGAGCTTTCCCAACTGTCTAGAATATCTCTCAGTGATGTAAATATGATCAAGATAGGAGTAGCAGCCGCCTTGGGGTATACAGGCAGTGGGTGCCAGTTGTTTTTCAATTAAAATATCACTGCTAATAAATCACAGGTATGCATTCAGATTTGCAGAAAGGTGCCATGTTTAACTTTTGAATTATCAAAGGTTATGTCGCCTGTCAGTTGAGGATTAACTAAAAACACAATTTGACTCAGGGTGCCTCAACTTTTACATGTAACCATGTGAATTCAGGGTCAACTTCATTTGGTTTTAACATTAATTTTTATTCTTTTGTAAATCAGATAGGTTGCTCAATAGAGAAGTGGGTCAACCCATTTAGTGTGTTGTTTCAAGAGACCAGTTTTTTCTATATGTACGATGTATGCTTTTGAAGCAAGCACCACTATGTTCACTACACTGGGATATATTTGTGGTGAAAAGAAAGTATTTTCTTTCTCCTTTTACCACTGCTTATGAGCCCATTTATCCTATGTATGAATCTGCCATTAAGATTTAATGAACTATTATGACCTATGGGAATAATTTTTGCCAAATCATGCATAGAATCCATAGCCTTGCCAATAAAAAACCAGTGCTTTCCAACTGTTCCCAGATAATTTATATATATGTAGGCTTGAACTCCCAGAGTTTTCATCAATGGCTATGTGGCTGAAGAATTGGTTCACACTTCAGAAAGGAGGTCATATTGGGACACTGATATAAATAGGGGAAATGGTTGTGTCGTAATTTGGGACACTAGAATAACTAGGGTAATGAAATCTTAACAAATTCAGAATGATTAGTTAGTTATTCTGAATTACAGTTACATATTTTTATATTTCTATGATTTATGAAATATACATACTATATATAGATTCACTTGTTCCTTTAAATACAATCTGGTATTTATGAAAAGCTGCTTCTTCAATAATAGAATTTAATAGCTTCATTTTTATTACTATAATACTATAATTTAAAAAAGTTTGTGTTTAGAAATGTGCCTTATTTCATCCACTAGAATTCAAGGCAGTTTCAAGGCATTTGAGTAGCTACAGTTCCTTTTTTATCTTTAATAAAATTGATTCAAAATGATACTTTGGCCATTTCTTCTACCTACTCCAATAAAGAGACATCTTTTAAAAGGGGGAATGGCTAGCCATATAATTCTATTGTTTGTTCCCTTAGATGGTCACTGAATGTATGTTATCTTAAAATTTTATCTATTTACAGTAATATATTAGAAAATTGTTTTAAAATGTTTACTTTGCATTTATTGTTTCAAGTGTGTTTATTTTTTTCTCTTCAAAGTTTCAGTACCTCATCCCATCCAATGTACAGATTAAAGTACATTTTTTAAAAATTGCAGGTAGTCCTTAACTTACGATCACAACTGAGCCCAAAATTTCTGTTGTTAAGTGAGATATTTGTTAAATGAATTTTGCCCCATTTTACAACCTTTCTTATTACAGTTGTTAAGTAAACCACTACAGCTTTTAAGTTAAAAACAAGATTGTTAAGTGAATCTGGCTTCCCCAATGGCTTTGCTTATCAGAAGGTTGCAAAAGGTGATCATATGACTATGTGACACTGCAACCATCATAAATATGAAACAGTTGCCAAGCAGTTGAATTATGATCATGTTACCATGGGATGCTGCAATGGTCATGTGAAAAATTGTCATATCACTTTTTTCAGTGCTATTGTAGCTTTGAACAACATTAAATGAACTGTTGTAAGTCAAAGACCACCTGCACTACATATGAAATAATCTTAATAACATTTTAATGGGGATACAGGTAAACCTTGTTTAGTAACTGACCTGTTTAGCAACTGTTCAAAGTTGCAACAGCACTGAAAAGTAACTTTACAATCAGGCCTCACATTTATGACTAGCAGCATCCCTGAGGTCATGATTGCTATTGGCATGCTTTAAAACTTGCTTCCAACAAGCAGAGTCAATGGAAAAGCCAGCAGTATAATCACAAATTGCAGTCATGTGATGTCTCACTTAATGACCGAATGGGAAATGACATTAAATCCATTATGGTCACATGATGTTTCACTTAGCAACTCTAGTTTACTTCAGTAGTTTTAGATACTGTATTTGTTTTATATGCATACTTAGATTAATGGCTTCATGTTACCATACCTGTAGTTTCTTTAATCTTGGGAACCCTGTGACATCCATCTTGTAAAGTCCCAAATAAAGGATCAGCAGAATTAGCTGCAGAATGCATAGCAGGCACAACCATTCTGTGGCACACAGTTTCAGACAGTTGATGCAGCTCCTTATATGTTGTTCCATGGCTGGAATACATGGCAGCTCTGTCTTCTACTGGAATATAGCTTTTTCGTGTCATATTAGGCATAATGTGCTTAACATCAGAGGTACAAAGAGGAGATTCAATTGGAGTTCCACATGTACTGCTGCCTGTACTACATCCCGCATCCACTGAAGAGCACTGTGAGTTTTGCAGGGAAAAGTGGCCTTTACTCTGCAAAGAGGACATGCGTTTAGTTAAGTGATACTTACACAATCCAGTCATACTGTGTTCAGCATCTGGAAGTTTTGAAAGAGGATCATCTGCAGATAAATTAGTATCTTCAGAATCCTTTTGGTCTTTGGATAAAGACACAGTAGTTATACCAGACACAAAATGTTCATCTAGCTCACACCCTAAGACACTACTGTGGTCAATCTCAGAATGCATTTCATCTTTACATTTCATATCTGCATTCCCAAGACTGGAAACTCTGGGAACTGTCTTTCCGTTCATTGTTTCTGGGTCTGTTTTCTCTACTTCCCCTTCATCTAAAACAGCATACCATCTTTGATTGTCTTTGTGAAAGGCAGTTCTCTCTGCATTTAAAGTGCCTGCATGTTGACCCTCCCTTGAGGACAGAGTTTTACCCTTTTGGTCATCGGTTTCTGTTTTTTTGGCTCCCTGTTGCTTTTTCATAAGAGCGCTGCCATCAAGAATTGCTTTTCCTTCCCCATCAATCACCTTATTTTTACGTTTAGTAGTGCAAGAATATATCACAGACCCCATGTGCAGCTTGCTAAAATATTCAGTAACAGATTTTGTTTCCATAGTTTCTGGTTCCATCTCCATGCTGTCTGAATGAAGAATCTGCTTTGAAGGCACAACTTTTGACTGGAGCTCTGTAGCTTGCTGATTAGCTGACAAATGTACAGATTTCATTAGCAGCCCTTCTGCCTGATTCTTGGTAATAGAGAATTCAGCCTGTGATTCCACCAGTGGTTGGTAACCTTCATTAGTGGGTAAAAACATTCGTGTGGAATTTTCAGTCAGTTTCTGTGCAATGGCCAGTTCAGAATTTTCAGTCATTTCGGAAGAGTTAGTCTCATTGCCAGAATCTGATGATGATTCAGGACTATATGCTCTCAAGATGGCTACACCTGTATGCCACAAAACACAAGAGCTAATTAATGAAATCATATCAGGCGCTTCAATATACTGATAAGAATAAGGGGCTTATAAGCTTAAAATTGTTCTGAAATATTGAATCACATATTGCATTGATTCCACATAAGGCAACTTAATGTAATGGTAGTTCTATTACATGGTATCTATAGGTGATGGTCAAAAAGTAATAACACAATAACAAAATGTTTTCAAAAGAGCTAATGCTGAAAAGCCTAAATGGGGAAAAGGGATGAAATGATATGATTTCTTTCAATGAATAAAGGTAACAGTGGTGAAAGAACCTGAATTTTCATTCATCTGGTGTTCCTTAGAAGCAGATAAGGCCTTCAGGGCTTGAAGCGTAGATACCACATCTTCCATTCCTTTTTCACATTTGTCTTCAGGATTAGTAGGGATAGCATCAATAAGTGACACTGGAATATCAGTACTTCCAACATTATTAGTTTCCTCCTTGTCTGCTCCGTACTGTGCGGTGTGACTCTGAGAATCTTCCTCATCAGAACTATCTCTGAATCCTGGTGGAGGAGCAGCAATGGCCATATTTAGAGAATGCAACAGAAAGTCATCTTCATTATCATCACCTTCTGGAGGTGGGAGGGATGTTAAGTCTATGATATCATCACTAGAACCTGAAAAACTGAGAAGAGCAGACCTCTCAATTTCTCCAACCATAATGTCTTCCTCACAGCTGACATCATCTTCCTCTTCAGCATCATCTGTGTTCTCTGCATAGCAAATATCATGCAGCAGAGGCTCTTCTATTCCTTCAGCGCCTTCAAACATTTTGCCATCACATAAGCCTGCATAACCAGAATTAGCAGCAAAATGAAAACTTTCAGCATCTGGGGACAACTCCAAACTCTTAATGTCATTAGCATGACTTATATAAAGGGTGGTCTGTTTATCTAATGCTTCTGGACTTTCATCCAATAATCTTTCATAGCCAAGAGTTTGAGGATTCACACCGTGTAAATCATGATCTCCAAAAATAAAAAATACTTTTGCAGCTCTTAGAGATCCTTGAATTTTCTTATTTGATTCCAATCCTCCAGAAAAGGAAAGCATGGGTTGCTGGTTTGAATTTCCATTATCTTCTATTTCTGCAAAGTCATTTTGTTTAGCCAGCTGTTGATCAAGTCCGCTTGAATTATAAACATTCTCTATGTACAGATGTCTATGTTCTTTTGAACATATAGCGCTATCAGAGACCTCTGCAGTTTTTTGTTTATTATCAGCAAACATATGGGCTTCCTGCTCTGCTGCTGAGAATGTAGTCATTTTGGTTACACAGTTCCACTCAGATCCATGATGATTAAATTTCTCTTTAGTTTCAATCCCTAAAAGAATGGTATGAGGTGAAAAAAGTGAGTTATCAAAATAGATTATGTAGTATTTGAATATTTCAGATTAAATTATTTGTATTTCCTAAACATTAACTCTTTGAGGTTTATCCTATTTATATGACCTTGAATATACTTTTAAAACCTATCCATTCTGAGCTGCTCTTGATGAATTCTTTCTATGTCATGGAAATATCCACAGTGAATTTTATAAGGATTTACAATAAAAATAAATAAAAAAGCAAATCTATTTTGACTGCCTACTCTAAAAAAGTACCATGAACAATTCTATTTGGACACAAGCAGATAAGAAAGCTAACATGAATCAGATGTTCAGGTTCAAGAATGTCACTTTTAATTTAGAAATCATATTTGTAAAACTAAATGCTTTGCTATCAAAGATCTCCAATGGATGAAATAGAAGCATTGTTCACTGCACTGTAATATTAATTACCTGTTTCACAGGTCCCACAGTTTTTCTTGTTGGTCATGTTAAATATTGATCGCCTGGAATCAACTAGGAGCCTATAGTATCCAGCTGTTAAGCATGCAAGATTCATGGCATCTGATGATTCCATCAGCAACGTGATTGGCTATGCATTAAAAAAAACATATTATCAGAAAGCAACTAAAATTCAGTAGATTTTGGAAATAAAACAAAGAATTAGATATATGTTAATATACAGATATTTTAATTATATTTACATTTACATAATGATCTTAAACATATTTATCATGATATTCAATGGATTTCCATGAATTTGTCAGATATACATAGGGGAAATAACAGCTTTTTATAGTAATATCTTCTCTGGCATATGCAATAAATTGCAGAAATCATAACAATGAAACATTGCTATTAAATATTACTATACTGTACAAAAATTGTTTACAAACATACTAAGAATTGCAATAAAATAATTGGAGGGATTCAGTTATCCTTCCAATAATAATATTTCACATTATCAAGAAAACTATGAAAGAGACTATTATGTCTGGTGTAATCATCTCTGAAGAATTATTTATATCTGTTTGAAACTGGTTCTAGGTTATAGCATAGCTGAATTGTGGGATCATACAAATATGGAAGTGTTTGCCCTAGCTTCCTACTTGATAGGTTGTATCTTATGATCAAGGCTTATACTTCCAATAACACAAAGCAGTGGCAATAGAAGCTGCAGAAATGGTCTAGACAGAATACACAAGTATTCTGAAATAGACAGCTGAAATGATAAATCATTTAACTTTGGGGAAAGAACTCTGTGTGTGAATAAAAAAAGCTATCTCTTTTAACAGACCTGTATGAGGTCAACATTGTTCTCTCCTAACTGACTGGGCCATTCTGGTCAAGATAGCATCTGTCACATCCCCTCAAACTTCATTTTTGGGGCTCTGCCATTCTGTTGGGAGGGGGGAGGTTGTACTCTGTTGGGAGGGGGGAAGTCTTGTGGGCTCTAGGATGTATTTCCTCTACCTTTTCTTTTCATCTTTGATTTATCTCTCTGAGTGTGAAATTGGGGTGGGGGAGAGGAATGTGCCTGGGGCCATCTGCCTTATCTTTACTCTGCTGGAAACAGACTACAACGCCTGAGAACTGTGCCTTATCGCTCCAGTTCCCATAACAACTTTGCACTTGTGGATGGGCTGAAGTCAAACTGGACAGTTGGGTACTGGGATGGGGTTTGAAAGGGTAGTTTTAATGTAATGCTTTGCATGGGAATTATTCAGATCTTGCCTTGCCTTTCTGCTTTCACTATCTCTCAATAAAAGTTCCTTTTGAAACAATGCCAGTTTTAAGAGGTCTGCTTTCTTGGGAGTACTAACTGAGGCAGGACCTTACAGCATCTTTTTTGAAAGTTGTATGAGAAAAATTACTGAGTTGTTATCATTATAACTTATTATTTAGCTGGTATAAGGATTCAGTCAGGTTTCCTTTAAAAATATTTTTTGAAATCATGTAAAGCAAAAATAATAATTTCTTTTTGATTCAGTGCCATTAACACAGTAGTAAAAACATCAAATGAAGAACAGATTAGTTATTTCTCTTTTGCTTGAAAGGAATCAGGCAGTATACAAAATTAGAAAAGCTACTATTTAATACCCCTAAATTTCATTAAAGCAATACAAGAAAATTTTGTGAATAAATCTTAGCTTGATTCTAAACAGAACAACCATGAATTTTAGTTCAAAATAAATAAAAGATTGTGATTGAATTTTCCAAGATACTTATCATTTCCAAAATTATATTTCAACTACAAATAATAATCTCCAAATACTTTCAAATCTCAATATTATTCCTATGTGGATTTTTTATGAATAAACTTTTGTTCTTTATTTCTTTCACAATAGCATTAGAATACTAAATCTGAAAATAAGATTAAGAAGTAAAGAGAACAAATATTTTACTTAAAATATTAAGTGAATTTGTCACAATAATTTTATTTTAAAATAAAACTTTAAAAAAGTTTTTCCAGTTTTCTAATGCCCATGCATTATTGCAATGTAGTAGAATTAATTCTAAATTCCTAATTCAATATAGAATTCTAAAGCTGATCACCAAAATTGAATAACTGACTGAATTTTTTTAATTAATATTCTTACAATAAACAGCTCTGTTGTTGTTAATACTAATCAGCGATCAACTTACTTTTACATCTAACACATGAAGCTCAACTCTGACAATAGCTTGATCTTCTGCAAACATTTCAATTCTGTTCACATGGCTAAAATCTGCCAGGAGAGCTACAAGATTTGTTTTAGTATTGATTACATGGCTAATGCCATACCGTGGTCCCACTAGTAAGGTGACTTCAGAACGTTTTTCTCCCTGCTACAACAAAGGAAATAAAAAGGACAGAACTTTATATAGTGCCATTATGCATATAGATCCATACAGCTTTATTTCACTGAATGTATCCCATTTAACTCCTAATATTAATAAGCTATAGATCAAAATGCTCCTTTCAGAAAGTATATTGAAGGCTTTCTTAAATTTAAATACTTGGCCTTGTGAAAAACAAGTCTAATATAAATGATATAATATTATGGAAAATAATATTAGACATTGTACAACTTGGTTCAATATTATTTATAATGCAATTATGTGATTATCCCGTCATTATCAATTTTCAGTTTACTTGACAAAAACTAAAAAGTCAGGAGAAACAAGCCCACCATTAATGTTGCCTTAAACACCCGTCCTCCATATAGTCGCAGGTCACTGAGAAACTTGAGATAGTGAACTTTGGCTTGCAGAGCAGACAGCTGAGGGAAAACATTTAAAAAAATTATTCCAAAGATAAAACACAGGTCTGCTCATTGATTATATGAATTAGATCTGATTGTAGAGTCTAAGCCTACAGGTCCATTCATAAGTAGGTATTTTTTTGACACCGTGGTCATTTTTAGATTTTGGAATTTCCTGGCACTTCTAACCAGTAGAAAAGATTCCCCTTTTGTGTCTGTCTCTGGTTGATACTTATAAGTCCAAAATGCTTCAGCAAATCTTGCACAAAGTAGGCCAAGTTCTTAGAATCTTTGGAATTCTGTGTTAATAACAACTCAAAGGCAAGCATATCTGAACTAAACTCTTTCTCCCAATCATAAACCAGAGAAATGCAGATCATACCATATATTGCAGTGTTTCCCAAACTTGACAATTTTAAGGCATGTGGACTTCAACTCCCAGAATTCCACAGCCAGCAACGCTGGCTGTGGAATTCTGGGAGTTGAAGTCCTCATGCCTTAAAATTGTCAAGTTTGGGAAACACTGATCTATTGCAATGGTTCCTACTTTCCTCCCCCATGATTTATCCCTCCCCAAACCCAATAATTAGCCAGCAATAGCAGGCATAAGGCTGGAAGCATTCAGATATTAAAACTAGGGAAGCTGTTGTAGAATCCACCAGCATCTTAATTTATCAGCATATCTCTCGATCCTTATGTGGCTTAAAGAGATTCTGAGGAAATGGAGAAAACAGTGGCTATAACCTTGAGCAAAATCTTTACAATAACCTTGGAGATCCACAACTCTAATAACATGAAAATGACCCACAAAGGTTCAGTGAGAACTTTGCTTGACCATGCTGTTGCTAAAATCAGGAAGCCTTACGAAGAATTGACTTCCTCTATCTAATCTCAATTTCTGACAAGACATTGTCTAGATTTCTAGATTTGCATGCTTTGCAAATAATTCAGAAGAATTAACTCAGGTTGATTCTAGTGTGAGCACAGCATCTCTCTAATTTTCATTAAAGTGACCTCCACTTTCTTCAGTGTGTATGCAGAAGGTACAATGTTTTTTTCCAAATCATTTACAAATGTGCAAAACTAGTCTAGACCTGTGATGGCAAACCTTTTAGAGACCGAGTGCCCAAAAACTAGCCCCGCCCCTGCTCCATCCCCTGCCCTGCCCCCTCTCTGCTCCCACCCCGCCTGCCCGCAGGGCCATTCACTACCTCCAGGGCCTGCCACAGACTGCCCAGGCAGCCCATGGTGGTCACGCTCTCTGCCCGCGCCCTGTAGCATCAACTATGCATGATGGGGCATGAGGGCAGAGTCTTGTCTATGCTGCCTGGCTGCCATGTCCTTGGCAGCGCTGCTCTGCGTGGGCCATGCTCGGGGCGACTCTCCTCCAGGGAAGCTGCTGCTGAGGAGGGAGTCGCGGGGAGAGACAAGGCTGGGGCAATGGCACGTGTGCCCACAGAAAGGACTCTGAGTGCCGCCTCTGGCACCCGTGCCATAAGTTCGCCACCACTGGTCTAGACTGTTTCAGAGAAAGAAAGCTAAATACATCCTTGCATCATACATTGCTCTGAAATGAAGGGAATTCAGGAGAGATTACCTCTATCTAGTGATGTCTTTTAATATATGAAGCATATTTCAGATGTATCCAATATGATGTGAATCTCAAGAAACCAGAGCCTACATCCTTTAATGTCAAACGTTAATAAATAAATCAGAATAGTTCACTTGATGGTATTAAAAAAAATCAAAGGGATTACATGATGAGAAAGATATATGGCACTGGAAGATCCCTAGATAGACAATTTAAAATAGGAAAAGAATTTTCAAGCACCTTTGTTATGTAACGCAGAGCCAACTCAATCAAATCAAATGAACAGAAAAGTTATGTTCTTGCGACTAACAATTCCCAGTATTTTCAATATTAAAAATGATTTTGCTAAATTATTTTATCCATTCTTCTTAAGCATATAGCATATATAAGCACTACTCATTGTAGACCCAGACAATCTCTAAAAAACAAGTTGGTCATTTTTTGTGTCTGAAAGATTTCTTTTAAATTCTTTCCTTTAGATTCTGCTCTCTTTATTATGAAAATGTATTTTTATTAAGATGCAAATATATTACCTTTTTACCTGGAGGAACTAGATTTTGATTTGCTTTGACAAGGTGTGAAAGTGCTTTCTTTATGTTCTTTTCTTTCATGCTCTGCAGTACAGCAGGTGGAATAAAAGTTTCAAGTCCCCATTCTTTTCTGTAATTTAAAACATATCCATAATTCATATTTCTATGAGAATTACCTATGTTTATAAGAGCCCATGCAATCTGAGAAAACAGTTATATGGTCCAGCAAATATGGGTTGTTTATCTATTCATGCTGTTAAAATTGTCAAAAATGTTCTTTGTTTTTTAAATTAAAAAAATATTCTTCTAAATTTATAGTGTATTCTATATAATTATAGAATACACTATTATATTATAGAATACAATGTAATATAAGAATATACTCTGTCTGGAGGCTAAAACATATAAAAAACAGTTGCTAGAATTGGGTATGTCTAGTTTAATGAAGAGAAGGATGAGGGGTGACATGATAGCAGTGTCCTAATATCTAGGGGCTGCCACAAAGAAGAGGGAGTCAAGCTATTCTCCAAAGCACCTGAAGCCAGGATAAAAAGCCATGGATGTAAATCAAGGAGAGATGCAACCTAGAACTAAGGAAAAATTTCCTGACTATTAGAACAATTAATCAGTGGAACAATCTGCCTCCAGAAATTGTAAATGCTCCAAGAGTGAAAATTTTTAAGAGGAGACTGGACAACCATTTGTCTGAAATGGTATAGGGTTTTCTGCCTGAGCAGGGGGTTGGACTAGAAGACCTGCAAAGTCTCTTCCAACTCCATCATCATCATCATCATCTTCTTCTTCTTCTTCTTCTTCTTCTTCTTCTTCTTCTTCTTCTTCTTCTTCTTCTTCTTCTTCTTCTTCTTCTTCTTCTTCTTCTTCTTCTTCTTCTTCTTCTTATTCTTCTTCTTCTTCTTCTTCTTCTTCTTCTTCTTCTTCTTCTTCTTCTTCTTCTTCTTCTTCTTCTTCTTCTTCTTCTTCTTCTTCTTCTTCTTCTTCTTCTTCTTCTTCTTCTTCTTCTTCTTCTTCTTCTTCTTCTTGCCAAGGTGACACAAACTTAAAAACTTAACTTGAGATAAACAGCAAAAGGTTATATAAGATTTTGATCTTAAAAAGTTACAAATGCAGGTCCAGTTAAATTGAGAATATTTACTTTTACTCTAATATTTTGGAATTAACTATAAAAATAGCTTCTTGTGGGAAACAGATTTATTTTGCCTATCTGATTCATAATAAAGATAAGCAACTTTATAATTTTAAATGGACACTAGAGGGGATTAAAAATTCTAAATAGAAGATAAAAAAACAAGCCTATTTTTGTGCTGATTAAATGTGACTTAAAAATGACATAAAGCATAATATTGGAAATATTAAAACAGATCCTTGAAGACCTTTAGAAGTAAAAGAAAGGAATATAAAGGTGGTTTATTTGATCAAGATTCAAATAAGAGATTTATTTCCAAAGTTCTGGCAATCCTGTATGGATTGTATGATACCAAGATTGAAATGTTGATGTTTTATAGATTTGTTTATAGATAAAGGATGAAATATCGGATGTAAAAATATCTACTGATAACCTTATGGGGATGAAGAGTTATTAAATTTGTCTATACATGTGGTAGTAAAGGTTGGAAGTAACATTTTAATACATTTCTTTTCTTTTTCTTTATCATATTTTTTCTTTTTCCTGCACTTTTTATTCTTTTTTTTTACATTTTTTCTTTTTTAAAGTTTCCATTAGTTTTTACTACTGTAATTAAAATCTTCAACAAAAAATGTATCCAAATAAAGCAAATACTGTTTCAAGAGTCTGTCAGCACTCCGGGAAATTAAACAGTAAATAATAAATGATGTTGGTGAGGAAGTTCCAGTGTTATAACTTAAGTTGATTTGACAATCATCTCCAAATGTAAAATATGAGTTAAAGTTTACTCAAATTCTCATATAAGCATAAACATTAAGAGGTTTTTTTTTCAAATAAAGCCATTAAATTTTAAAGTGGAATCCATTTCAGTCACTACAAATTTTATATAACTCTAATACACGTTATGAAACTTGTATTCTATACTTACTCAATGTACTTCAGGGAGATTTTTTGTGTGTCTTTTGTGGTCACTGTTGCAATATACATTTGTAATGCTGCCAATCGCAGTGCAATATCATATTTTAGCTCAGGCCCAAACCTCTCCTGAACCACATCATTACAGCTCTGTCAAAAAAACAGCAGAGGGAATATCAAGCTTAAACACCTTTTTTAGATACTGCATTATGACTATCTCTTCTCCAAAAAGGCAAGCTCATAATGAACAGGAACTAACACTGCCAGATGAACCATCCATAAATAACTAGGATTAAAAGGACAAGTGTGGTATATTAAGTTGATAATTTGGAGTTACCAGAATAACACTTTTATTTTTGTGTTTACAGGGCCAAAAGCAACCTATTCCAAATCACACCCTTCCAGATTCACTGGAACAATAAACTCAGAAAATGTAGCAGATTAAAACAACAACAACAGTGAAATCTAGCTCTTCTGTATTTCAAAGTCATCATCAGGGATGCTGAAATCCACTGTAATAAAAATATTAAAAATAATTTTAACTGCAAGGAAACTTCAGAAAAAGAACCATGCAAGTAACTTTATTGACATTTCATGATGCTATGTTCAACTCTGTAATATACCTGTACATAGAGATATTCAAAGGCAACCACATCCCGTCTTAAAAGATCAATAGGATCCTTTGGAACAAAACTGATTCTGAACAGGCATCTCATTTTATGGGAGCTTGGTCTTTGGGTCACCTAGAGAAATAAAATACTTTCATTACAATTCAGAGGACCTGACACTGTATTCTTTCTAAAATAATTCAGGAACCATTAGATGACTGAAGGGAAATTTAAAAGAAGATATTAACTCCCAAACTGTGCAAAATAAACCATGAATTTTCTGTTTTTCTCCGTGTCACTTTATAGTCAGTAGCCAAGGCAATGTTATTAGAGTGTATTTAAAAATGCTTAGCCAATTCTAAGAAAAAGGATCTCTGATGTTGATCTCAACATCAGAGACAGATATTGTTTACAGTATCAACCAAGAATGAAAACCTCCTATAATGCATATGGGTCAATATACAGTAAAAGGAAGAAAAAAAGACATTGCTATGAGCATTTACTGCAGGGCACCCAACCAAACAGAAGAAAAAGATGAACTTTTTGCTCATCAATTAACAAATGTATGTAGGAAACATACCACAGTATTAATGAGAGACTTTAATTACACTGCTATCAACTGGGAGACAAACTCTGCAGTAAGTGGGAGATAAAACAGATTCCTAACCAACTTAGCTGACAACTTTGTGATCCAAAACGAAGAGGAGGGAACTAGAGGAAAAGCTATACTGGACCTAATTCTTACATATAGAGAAGAAGAAGACATTGCCACAATCTTGAGTGAGAGTGACCATGTCATATTGGAATAGAATAGACAGAGAAGGGACCTTGGAGGTCTTCTAGTCTAGCCCCCCACTCAAGCAGGAAAACCTATACCATCTCAGACAAGTGACTGTCCAGTCTTTTCTTAAAAACCTCCAGTGATGGAGCGCCAACGATTTCTGAAGGTTAATTGTCCTCAGTGTTAGGAACTTTCTCCTTAATTCCAGGTTGCTTCTCTCTTTGATCAGTTTCAAACCATTGTTTCTTGTCCTCCCCTCTGGTCTTTAGAGAATAATTTGACTCCCTCTTCTTTGTGGCAGCCCCTCAATTTTTTCTAGTAAGCTAGAAAGAGGTGGGATAGACAACAACACTTTTGGATGGATCTGTAGTGGGCTAACAGACTATACTCAGCGAGTAGTCCTCAATGGTACTACATTCACATGGAGAGCAGTGGGGTAGCACAAAGCTCCATCTTAGGCCTTGTACTCTTCAATATTTTCATGAATGGCTTAGATGAGAGAATAGAAAGGGAACTCATCAAATTTGCAGATGACACTAAACTGGCAGGAATAGCCAACACCCCAGAAGACAAACTCATGATCCAAAAAGATCTTGACAAACTTGAACAATGGGCCCTATCCAACAAAATGAATTTTAATGTGGAGAAAAGTGAGGTTTTACATTTAGGCAGGAAAAATCAAAGATACAAGTACAGATTATGCGAGACCTGGCTCAAATACAGTAATTGTGAGAGGGACCTTGGAGTCCTCGTGGACAATCACTTGACTATGAGCCAGCAGTGTGCAGCAGTTGCCAAAAAAGCTAATACAATCCTGGCTTGTATAAACAGGCATAGAATCAAGATCACGCAAAGTATTAGTACTGCTAATGAACATTGATTCAATCTTTACTGAAAGAGAAAGAATTTATAAAAAAAAGTAGCAAAAGAAATAGAATTTTTCTTTCAAGAAAATAAGAAAGAAGATACATCACTCCAAAACATTTGGGATACAGCCAAAGCATATTTTAGAGGATTAGCCATAACTCAAATGGCGAAAAAAAATAAGGCAAAAAACAAGAACAAATGAAGCTAAAGAATTGATGAAATTAGAATTAGAATTACAAAGAGCCCCACAAAAAAGATGTCTAAAAAACAAATGGAGATAATAAAACACAAATTAAACTTAATTGAAGCTGAAGAAATGGCTCAACAAATCAAAAGAGCAAAACAAAACTTTTTTGAAAATGCTAATAAGCTGGACAGATGGTTAGCCTATAAATTAAAAAAAGAAAGAGAGAAAAAACAAATAAATAAATTGCAAGATGTGAGAGGTGATTTACAATACCAAAATGATATAATTAAAAAATTTTATGAAATACTTTATGATAAAGAAGAAATAAAAATAAGGCAGTATATAGAAAATGCTAATTTACCAAAGGTTTCAGAGAACTTCAAAAACACATAAAATGAGGAAATAACAATGATGGAGCTGACAGAAGTTATAAAAAGACAAAAAAATGACAAGACACCAGGCCCAGATGGGCTACCCGCAGAATTTTATAAAAGCCTACAAGATATACTAAGCCCATTAATGCAAGAAGTATGTAATGAAGTTTTAGTGGAGGGCAAACTACCAAATATATCGATAGAAGCCAATATCACTTTAATACCAAAAGAAGATTCAGATTTGACTCAGATAAAGAATTATAGACCAATATCTTTATTAAATGTGGATTATAAAATTTTTGCTTCAATAATTGCAGAAAGACTAAAGAGATTTTTGATTGAATTTATAACAACAACAATAATAATAATAATAATAATAATAATAATAATAATAATAATAATAATAATAAAGTTGGAAGGGACCTTGGAGGTCATCAAGTCCAACCCCCTGCTCAGTCAGGTAACCCTATACCATTTCGGACAAATGGCTGTCCAGTTTCTTCTTAAAAATGTCCAGTGTTGGAGCATTCACCGCTTCTGGAGGCAGGTTGTTCCACTGGTTAATTGTTCTAACTAAGGAAGTTTCTCCTTAGTTCTAGGTTGCTTCTCTCTTTGGTTAGTTTCCATCCATTGCTTCTTGTCCTACCTTCAGGCGCTTTGGAAAATAGCTTGACTCCTTCTTCTTTGTGACAGCCCCTGAGATATTGGAACACTGCTATCATGTCCCCCCTCGTCCTTCTCTTCATTAAACTAGACATACCCAATTCCAGCAACCGTTCCTTTTATGTTTTAGCCTCCAATCCCCTAATCATCTTTGTTGCTCTTCTCTGTACTCTTTCTAGGGTCTCAACATCTTTTTTACATCGTTGTGACCAAAACCGGATGCAGTATTCCAAGTGTGACCTTATCAAGGCATTGTAAAGTGGTATTAATACTTTACGTGATCTTGATTCTATCCCTCTGTTAATGCAGCCTAGCACTGTGTTGGCTTTTTTGGCAGCTGCAGCACACTGCTGGCTCATATTTAAATGATTGTCCACTAGGACTCCGAAATCCCTCTCACAGTTACTACTATTGAGCAAGGTACTCCCTATACTATACCTGTACATTTGGTTTTTCTTGCCTAAATGTAGAACCTTACTTTTTCACCATTGAATTTCATTTTGTTAGATAGCACCCAGTGTTCAAGTCTGTCTAGATTCTCCTGTATGCTAAGCCTGTCTTCTGGAGTGTTGGCTATTCCTGCCAGCTTGGTGTCGTCTGAAAATTTGATGAGTTCCCCATCTATCCCCTCGTCCAAATCGTTGATGAACATGTTGAAGAGCACTGGGCCCAGAACAGAGCCCTGGGGCACCCCACTACACACTTCCCTCCATGTAGATGTGGTTCCATTGAGGACCACATGATGAGTACGGCCAGTCAGCCAGCTACAGATCCATCTGGTGGTGATGCTGTCTAACTCACATTTTTCTATTTTATCAAGTAGTAGGTTGTGATCTACTTTGTCAAATGCCTTACTGAAGTCCAAGTAAATTATATCCACAGCATTCCTCTGGTCCACTAATTTTGTCACCTGGTCAAAGAACGCAATAAGAGTTGTCTGGCATGATCTATTTTTGACAAACCTGTGTTGGCTTTTAGTAATGACTTTGTTTGCCTGTAGGTGTTCGCTGATTCATTGTTTGATTATCTTTTCCAGAATCTTCCTAGGTATTGAGGTCAGGCTAATAGGTCTGTAATTTCCTGGATCCGTTTTTTTTTTCTTTTTGAAGATGGGAACTACATCAGCTCTTTTCCAGTCCTCTGCTAGTTCCCCAGTGCTCCAGGATCTTTGAAAAATATAGTTCAGTGGTTCTGAGATCACATCAGCCAGTTCCTTGAGAACCTTGGTCCTGGTGATTTGAACTCGTCTAGGCTGGACAGGTGCTCACTTACCATTTTCTTGCCTATCTTAACTTGTAATTTCTATTCTGTTTTTTAATGGCACTATTTTTGATAGGTTGGTGTTTTTTCCTTTTGTGTAAAGACAGATGTGAAAAACGAGTTACATAGTTCTGCTTTCTCCTTGTTGCTTGTCACCTTCTTGCCACTTTCACCCACTAATGGACCAATCATTTCCTTCACTTTTTTCTTGTTTTTTACATTTTGAAGGAAGTTTTTTTATTATTTTTGACTTTGGTCGCAAGCCTTAGTTCATTTTGAGCCTTAGCTTTCCTCACTTCATCTTTGCAGGCTCGGGCTATTTGCTGATATTCTGACTTAGTTATGTGTCCCTCTTTCCACTTTCTATACTTGTCCTTTTTATCTTTCAATTGATCAGAGAGTTCTTTATGCAGTCATGCTGGTTTCTTTTGAGAGCTGTTATTTTTCCTCTTTGTTGGTATTATGCTAGCCTGGGCTTTTATTATCTCACTTTTCAAAATTTCCCAAGCTTCTTGAGTTGTTTTCCCCTGGAGGATTCTCATCCATGGAATCCTTCCCAAACCCTCTTAAGTTTATTGAAATTAGCTCTCTTGAAGTCCAAGACTCTAGTTTGACTGTGTTCTATTGCTTGTGCTTCCATAATGTTGAATTCCAATATTGCATGATCACTTCCTCCCAAGGTTCCTATGGCTTCAATACCTTCTATCATTTCATCTGTTAGTGAGAATTAGATCCAAAATGGCTAATCCCCTAGTTCCTTTCCCTACTTTTTGGGAGACAAAGTTGTCTGTTAGGTTTGCAAGGAATCTGTTTGATCTTCCACTTGGTGCACAGTTTGTCTCCTAGTTGATGTTAGGGTAGTTAAAGTCCCCCATTACTATTGTGATGTGCTTCCTACGTACCTAAGTTAACTGACTAGCAAAAAGTTCATCTATTTCCTGTGTTTGGTTGGGTGGCCTATAGTATACACCTATGGCAATATCGTTTCCCCTCCCTTTTATAT